TGTGATGATTTGGGCGGGGTTTTTTTTTTTTTTTTGCTTTTTGAACCTCTATTTTGTAAGGATTATATTGATTAGAGACGTTTACAGAAAATCATGGTAGAGTTTTGTTCATTAGGATTTCCATAAAAGATCTCAATTAGCTTCCGAGTCTAGATCCCCTCAACCCTACCCTACCGGGATATCACCTTCATGCTATCACCATCCAATCAAGTTTAAGGGGGCTCCGATGAACCCCAATACTAGCCAATCTGACGATGATGCCGGGGAGGAGGAGAACAAGCTCGCCGTAGCAGAATCTACAAGCAAATAGTGCCACAATAAATCCGAATCAGACGTGTTACCTAACTGGCATTGGTTCACATGCCGTTTCAATGGTTAGTAAAAAAGTAAAATTGCGAGGGGGTTAGTAATTCCACTCTGTTGAAATATAAACGCAGTTGATTGTAGCATGGTTTAAATACAGTCCAGTGACCTCTCATTTTAATTGACCAATTGACCGCATCCTGCACATGAAAAAAACTTTTCATTCTTGCAGTTGCAGGCAGATATACTTCTCTTTGCAAAAACATTACTGTATGAGATTGCTTTATTTTGTGTAAATAAAGATTATTTAAAGGTGAAACATTTGTTCCTACCAATTCTTCTTTCCTCAATCCTCACTTCACTTTGTTTATTTAATTATTAATAAAAAATCGTGAATAGTACTAACACGTTGAAAAAGAAAGGAAAACAAACGAAACGCTTTACTCAATGGCCCCAGCCAGAGGCGGAAGAAGAAGCCACCCCTATATATACGGCCCAAGGCGCTCTCTACTCCCCCAAGTCCCCACGCTTCTTGTAGTCCACCTAGCTACAGGCCCTCAGATCCCTGCTACCGAGCCATGGAGGCAGACGCGAGCCATGCACCCACCACCTCTTCCTCCTCCGTCTCCTCGTCGACATTGTCCACCTCCTCCTCCTCCTCCTCCCTCGCCACCAGCGCGCTAGAGCTCCCCAAGAGCCCCAAGCCCAAGCACCCCAAGAAGCGCAAGAGAGCCGGCTCCGACCGAGAGCAGGACGCCGCCGCGAACACCAATGGTGTCCGTGGAGACGAGAGCAGCTGCTGCAGCACCGACGAAGACTTCGCCGCCGCGAGCGTCAAGGCGGCCGTGCCCAAGAGCGGCTTCAAGCACCCGTCGTACCGCGGGGTGCGGCGCCGGAGCTGGGGCAAGTGGGTGTCCGAGATCCGCGAGCCGCGCAAGAAGTCGCGCATCTGGCTCGGCACCTTCCCGACCGCCGAGATGGCGGCGCGCGCCCACGACGTGGCCGCGCTCGCCATCAAGGGCCGCTCCGCGCACCTCAACTTCCCGGAGCTCGCGCACGAGCTGCCCCGCCCGGACTCCACGTCGCCCGCGGACATCCAGGCCGCCGCCGCGAAGGCCGCCGCCACCGCCGCCGTGCAGTGCGAGGCCGAGCCCGAGCACGAGCACGAGCCGGAGACGCCGTCGTCCTCCTCCGGCGCCGTCTCGGAGACACCGGAGGCCGCAGCCTGCGCCGAAGCGGCGCCCGCGGACAGCGGCGAGGTCGACAATGCGCTGTTCGACCTGCCCGACCTCCTTCTGGACCTGAGGGACGGGCTCTTCTGGTCGCCGGTCTGGCCGGCGGCGCTGGCCGCCGAGGAGTACGACGGCGGCTGCTGCGTCGGGCTCAGCGAGCCTCTCCTGTGGGCCGAGTAGGAATATATTCTTTTTACCGTTCTGGGCTCATGAATTGCTTTGCTAGTGTACTAGTATAGCAAAAGATTTAGTGGTAGCAGTAGCACTGCTATTGGAAAAAAGTTATCGTCAGCTGTTTGTGAGTCTTCTTCACTCGACCATGAAACATGTGTGCCTTTTTTTTATTGCTATCAACCAAAGAAGCTTTGCCAGACACGATGGACTTCCCCGGAAAAGAAGACGCAGGTTTACTCCACAAGTTTGCAATTGCTTTAGATGATTGCTCAGTTGATGGACACCCCTGCATCTAGCTACACGGTGGGCCGCCGTTTACTGGTAGCTGTTAGAAGTTAATGAGTTGGACGCATTTGCAATTATTTTGTTATTTTGATGGTGATATTCATATGCTGTTGCCCGGTGAGTCGCCGGCCGGTTGCAAGTCGTTTTATGGCCGGTGAAACAGTATCATATACTCCAAGCAAGAAAATCAGACCGGAGCGAACTGTGGACTGTTTCCTTACTGATTTCACAAACGAGTTTGGCAGTGAGGAATGTACTCTTGTGTTAGTAGCGTGTTGTACTGCCTCACTCTAACAGCAGAGGTGCACTTTTAACGAACAAGCTCCCTAATTTCCACAGAGCTCTGACTTTAATTACTCTTGCTGCTCTTACGTCGCCGTTATGGGAGGATCTCTGGAAATACGGAGGGGTAAATCTTTCTTTTATACTAGTACTACTAACAAGGCCAAGATGGTAGTGGTAATTACCTGCGGCTTATTTAAGTAGTCCGTAGGTGAAGTACTGAGCTGTAGTCATATCTTTGCCGGGTTTGGTGCAATACCCACGTTATCCTAGGTTACAATAAAGGGCGCCCAGTCCAGAGGCGGAAAGACACGAAAGCTAGCTCGGAGAAAAAACAAGATAGATGGAAGGATCAAAGAAAGTTCCAACCCTGAGCGCACATCATTCCCTTGTCTCCTAGCAGCGGAGGTTAGGTTAGTTAAAAATTAAAAACGCAAGGCCAATGACTACCAGGTTAGGAGTTAGGTACACAACGCAAGCACGCCAGTTACCGGCTCCCACACGAGTATTCCACCAGCAAGGCAAGTTTTTGACTATTAATTTGCTTGTTCTTTCCTGGTAAGAAGCTCCATGTTTAGTTATTATTACTCCCTCCGTTTCAAATTACTCGTCGTGATTTTAGTTAGTTCAAAGTACCTTCCCCGAATTAGTTAATCAAAAATAATCCCATAAATCAGTACGAAATCAAGGATGGTAAGTACGTACGTACACGTAGCCGAGGCGTGAGTGGCCGCGCGTCGACGGACCGCCTCACATGCCCAACACATGGCCAGGCGATCATGCACTGCGCCGCATATGGTCGCATACACGCCGCGCGCAGCGAGCGACGTGGTACGACGCATGCAAGCGGCGCTAGTGATCCTGGCTGGCTGGCTGATTGCGTCCTTCCTTGATTAACAATAACGAACGCGTACGTACGATCAGCGGCACTATAATCAAGTCGAATCGGGCCGCTGATTCGCGGGGTGCATGCTGACGGGAGGATCCGATGCCGCCGCGGTCGTGTCGCCGTCCGGCCGGGACCGGTCGACGACCGCTCCGGCCGGCCGGCGGTCCGGTCCGGTGGGGGCGGCGGTAGGTAGGGTGGTACCGGGCTGGCTCGCTCGTACGTACGTTGCCCGTTCAATTGCCGGATGGGGATGTCTGCGTGGATTCGGGCTGCCCAATGAGGCACCTAATCGGTTAGTTAGCACTCAACGAAATGTTGGTGCAACCGGCCGATCGATCGACAGAGCCCTGCTCTCACGCCCTTGAGTATGGAACGGGGGTATATACCATATTGTGACTGATTTGATGCCGCTGGATGACACGGTCCAAGGAAGCTACTGTTGTTGTGAGAGTCGTCGGTAAACAGAAGCTAAACAATATAGGAACACACACACGCACGCATGATGACATGAGCAGTCTCAAACTACGGCAAAGAAATAGATGATGGTTTCTCTGAAGATTTCTCCGGCCAATAACAAGAAACAAGAATCGGGACCGAGCAATGCCTTTTTTTCTGACCAACAAAAAGTGAGGAGAATTACCTCTGAGCTGTAGCAAAATAATGGCCGGGCTGAGGGCACGTAAAAGCGATGGCTGCCCTATGAGAAGGGCGATCTATAGACGGCCATAATTGGGCCGGAGTCATTTTCTATTGGATTCAAACAGCCGCGAATAATTGTAACCGGGCACTACCACGCAGCGGAGATGACGATCGCCGATCGTGCCGTTCTTGCATGTGACAGCGATGCCTCGCTCCCATCAAGGTGTTAGTTTCACTCGAAACGCATGAGGCCACTGCTAACCATATTCGCATTATTTTGATGCGTCGATCAGTCGCTGACGATCAGTACAAGCATAGCTTTCGGGCCACTAATTAAGCACCACTGCTCAATTATTCTTGGCCAGCCATTTCCCATGAAAACATGCATGATAGGACTAGTGTAGCTCATGCTGGAAAATGACCGCTAGCTCCTCCCTATGGAAGTTAACAAGCCATGGACGTATTAACCACTCTTTACTTGGCCTGGGGGCTTTGTGGATGACCAGGAGATCATGGACGTGCTAACCACTCTTTACTCCCGCATACGCCAATCAAACTCGTGTGCTTTGGGACTTTGTGACAGTTTCTAGTATATGATCTTTTTCCCCCTCTGATATCACTTGTACAGATCAATATTAATTAGTGAAGGGGCTTTCGTGGACGGACCCGAGCAAAGCATGGTTGGGACTACCACTGCCAACCGAACCTTGGATGCAAGGGATGAGCTTCTGCCAACGCTTCCCGGCTCTGTTTGGCGCCTGCACACGGAAGCGGCTAACGGTGGGTCATGCACTTATCGGCGGTCGGTGGACACGTCATCTCAGGGGAAATCTTATGCCGCAGGCGGTCAGAGAGTTCACTGCCTTGTGGATACTATTACAGGACGTCACGCTAGGCCAGCAATGGGAGACGGTTTCTCGGCGATGGACGGCAAACGGCGTATTCTCCACTCATTCTGCCTATATAGTCCAGTTTGAGGGATTGGTGCGGACGAGCTACAAGCAACTGATCTGGCAGTCGGAGGCACCACTGAAATGCAAAGTGTTCTCTTGGATTGCGGTGCTTGGGAAGATCTTGACAGGGGACAACCTGGCGAGCCGAAACTGGCCTCACAACCCGACTTGTTGCCTTTGCAACGCTCAACAGGAGATGCCCGAGCACCTTCTGGCTTGCTGCCCTTTCACGGTGAGCTTGTGGGGGTGGGAGAATGCAAAAATACAACTTGCCAGTGACCCTTGCCCCGTCACCAGCCTCAGAGAACATTCGGGAGTGGTGGTCGAGATCAAGGCAGCAGGTGCCGGAGATGCACAGGGCAGCATGGAGCTCGCTAGTGCAGCTCACGTGGTGGTCATTATGGAAGGAGCGGAACTCGCGGATTTTTGACCACAAGAACTCGACGGAAGAACAGGTGCTGGATCGAATCAAGAATTATCTCATTGATTGGACGTTGGCAGGCAAGCATAAGGTGGCCCTAATGATTCACAGACCTAGGGAACCAGATTAATATTTCTATTGTTGGTAGGCTAGTAATGGGGTTCGGACTGTAATTGGGTGGCTGGATACTAACTTTGTATCCTGGGTAACTTGCTATACCCCTGTAACACTCTTCTCTAATTTCAATGAAATGCTGCATCATGCAATCTTTTCATAAAACAAAGTAAAGGGATCGATAACTGCACACAGGCGGCGTCCAGATCTAAGATTCTGCTCGGCCTCCTTTTTCTCGGTTACTACCTGGCCATCCGCGGCAAAGCCCACGCGGTAGTCCGCGGATTTTCTAGTGCTTCCGCGCCGAGACATGGTAGCAGAGCACATAAATGGCGATGGTTGGTTGGCAGCGGCTATAGGCCAATCGACTGATTTGTATTATGGTCAATCGGTTCATACAAAATAAGAAAATACAACAAAATGAAAGAAAACTATCTGGCCCAAAAATAGGGTCAGTCGAGCCCAACAAAAAAAGAGGTGGATCCAGCATTGTAAAAAAACCTTCTATCTTGTGCCTTCTGCTGAGCCTAAAGCTAAAACGGGCCTGAACCTGCTTAGGAAGAAAACCCACTCCACTGAGAAAACTGGATCTAGCTCATGCACAGATCACTAGGTTGTCTTCCTTCCTCCTCCTTCCCCGATCACCAACACAACCGCCGCCATGGACGCACAAACAAAGCTCGGATTCACCTGTCCTATGAGGTCTCCATAGATCTTCTTCCTCCCATTTCTTCCTTCCTACCACTTTTTTCTCCAATCGCCCAAAGATCTACAACACCAACACAATGGATGAAGCTTCAGATCCTCCCCAAAACACGGATCTATCAAAAGGAAGAAGAAAAACAATTAAGAAGAAACTTGAAGGACAAGATGCTTGTGGTGTAAACGATGATCTCCTCACCCTCTTCATTTTTTCTGTCATGTTATTTTGGTGCCCTGCAAACTTGAGTTACGTCCTGACATTTTGGTGCCGTGCAAACTTCAGCAAACTTGTTGGCCAAAAATGGTGTAACCACTAGACTAAATTCATAAATGCAACCGTATTGTGTTGGCAATATGCCCTAGAGGCAATAATAAAATGGTTATTATTATATTTCCTTGTTCATGATAATTGTCTATTGTTCATGCTATAATTGTATTAACCGGAAACCGTAATACATGTGTGAAAGAACATGCGGTGCCTCCATGTTTGGTTTTGGTAATTGATGACAATCTCTATGGACTAATGGTTGTCTTGAGTTATATTTGAAGGTTTTGTCCATAGGCTTTTCTTGGAGTACATGTGTTGGTTTCAAGGAGAGTTGGTGTCGACCAAGGTGCTATTCAAGGAATTATCCAAAGATTGGTCTTGTGAGAGGTTGATCAAGACTAAGTCAAAGAGTGAATCAAGTAGATCAACCCACAAAGCATAGAAGATGTACCG